TTTTTTTTTTTTTTGGCAGAACTGGGGATAGAACTCAGGCCCTTGGGCTTGCCAGGCAAGTGTGTATTCTACTGAGCCATCTCCCTGGCTCCAATCAGACATATTTTGAAATACATTGTTATTCTGGTGTAAAAATTGAACATATAAATGAGGACCAAAATGTATAACAGATTTTGGGAAATGTGAAGAAAACGTTCAACTAAGAAGGGGGAACATAAATTTTTAGGTTTTGTTTATATTAACGCATTAGCAGTATGTGAAGCCATTGGCTAAGAATTCTTTTTTAAAGGTTTATTTTATTCTTTTGCTTTGTGGTTTCCTTCCTCTACTCATTTTTAAGATTTACATTTCATGACTCATTAGGCCCCTCTCATTTTTTAATGCCCATAGTTTATCCCATCTGTTCTTATCCAGGATTTACTGCCAATTCTCAATAGCCCCTTTTTTCTTTTGAGTGTGTTGTTTGTGTCAACTTGAGTAAGAGGAGCTCAACTAAATCGGCTCAGCAATTCCACACTGTAAGATGCAGAAGTCCCACCCTAGGGTGGCTTGTCACCTGGATGGTATAAAGGAGAAATGAAGGGTAGAACCACTTCTTTTCTTGGAGGAGCTCTAGTCTCTACCTTCACCCTGGAGGTCTTCTGGCTTCCAGCAGAAACTTCTGGCCACATCCTTCAGTTTTCCAGCACAGACTCTTCAGCTTTCAACTGGAGACCCATTGGCCTCCTGGTACACTGCAGTGAGCTACAGAACTCTGACTGAATCCTTCCATCTCGTGTGCAAACAGATTCTTTGCACTCTTCTACATCTGACTCTCTGGGTGACCATTTTAAGCCAATTTTGTAGCATCTCGTATATTCGTACATCTTATATTATCTAGTAAACACTGATACAGACAAGGTCTCATTGTAGGTACTCACAAGTTGGGCTTAAGCACCTTACCTATCTCAGGTTGGTAATGACAAGAGGCAGCTGAGGAATGGGGTTGGTCACTATCTACAGAACAGGTCATCTTATCCACTTGTTAAAGAACTCTTCTGCCCGAGGTCACATTTTGATGAGTGGTTACGTGTGGAACAAATATGGCTGCAGCTGTCTACTTGCAGGGGTGCTGTATAACACACAGAATCATCTGTAAACCAGGCCCTAGCCTTCTCTTCTGACAGCTGATCACACAGTACATACCACAGTCACAGGTGTATTCCAGGATGAAGGCAATATGGCTATTCTCCTGCCTCTGCCTCCTGAATCCTGAGATTACAGGAGTGCACAATTATACCTGGCTTCAATATTGGTCTTAGAAAAATTAATCCGGAACATTTGTTATTTAGAACTCCCTAGTGCTGTTAAGGATCAACTCCAAAAGAGCCCTGCATGGGCCAGGGATATAGCTCAGTGGCACAGCACCTGCTTGGTAAGTGCAAGGTTGTGACTTTGAATGATACATTAAAAAAAAAAAAGGGTCCTGCAGGGTGTACCCTCCTTTTACCTCAAGTAGTATTTTGTCACTTCCCACATTCTATTGAACAAATGGAAGTCTTAACTGAATATTTCTTGAAGCTTCTAAGTTCTTGTTTTCTGGCCCTGACCTATGCATTATTGTATTCCTTGCTTGTAGTAGCAAGTACTTCCTATAATCCTTTTATTGGATAGTTGTCCTTCCTTTTTAATATTCCTACACTTCTTGGTCAGGCCACTTCTTTCAGGATTTCTGCTTTGCTGAGCCTTCTCTTGAGTGTTTCCTCTAAGAACTCCCCAGCCACTTTATTATTTCATAGCAATATATACACAAGTTCTTGCTAACTCAGCTTCTATGGTAAGTTCTATGCAGACAGTGGCTATGTCTAGCTTGTTCAAAATACACCTTTAGAAAGGGCACCCAGTACATATTTTAATTACTAAATAGATACCCTGGGATAGGTTCTCTAATAAGTTATTTGATTTTCAGAGAAATAATTTGTGGTACAACTTTGCTAATCTTATTGGAACATAAAAATGTTTTTTAAATTTTTTTTTGTACTTTAGAGAAGGGTCTACAGGGTGTTCAGGGTCTCACTACTAGATCAGACTAGTACTGATCTGCCTGTTTACAGCCTCCCAAGAGCTGGGATTACAGGCACGCGCCACCACCCCCAGTCTCATAAAAATGTTAAATTGTCTTTTTACTATAAACTATAAAAAGGTACAAGCAAAATTGAAAAGTAGTTTTGATCATCAGTATGGAAATGAAACACTAAAATTCTTCGATTTAGATGGGGAACTCTGTCTCTTCCTCCTTCCCTCCCTCTGCTTTTGCTACTTTTGCCACTATCAACTGTTACCCTTCTTCCATGTGCTTCCCTGCCTTGGAGACAGCTGATTATGGACTGAAATCTTTACAAACTGTGAGATAAATAAATAAACCTTTCCTCATTTAAACAAAATTAGATATGAAGACTCTTCAAAACATAGGAAGGGTCTAATCAATGAAATACGCCCGATAGCTCAGTGTATTAAAGCACCTGGTTAGGTAGATGCCAGGTCTGGGGTTCCATCCCCAGTGAGCTGTGCCAGGCCCTGCCCCCAGGGAGAGCTCAGAGACTGAGACTGGGCGTAGTGGTGTGTGCCTGTAATGCCAGTGCTTGGGAGGCTGAAAACAGGAGGATCACTGAGTCCAATCTGTGTAATGAGACCCTGTACTAAATACAAGAAGAAAAAAAATAAAGAAATATTCAAGAGCACTGAAATACACTAGAGAAAGAATATAATTCTACCCACAAAACAACAAAAGAACAGTTTCATTTTATGGTTTTATTACATGATGTTAATATTCAGAACACTTTAGAGCACCTTATACTTCTAATCAGGTTTTTGGTAACTGGTTTTTAAAAGTGTTACTTGAATATTTTTCACATACCAGCTTTTAGCCAAAAGCACTACTCAGTGACTGTTTAAGCGATGTTAATTTGATTAAATAGTTTATCCTTAATAACCTGAGACATCAATCCATGGATGGCTTCTATGGTGGTTTTACAGCTGGAAAGAAAGAACATCATATATTGAAGCAGCTTGAAAACTATTCTAAACATGTAAGTTTTCCCTCATACTTGTCTTTGCACTCCCAATAATGTTTTTCATTTTTACTCATACTCGCAAAACCACTCTAAATGCAGTGTCCTTGTTAATTTTGGCCTTCTGCGTGTCTTTTAACCCACTGAATTACTAGAACGTGACAAAAGAATGACAAAGTAAAATTTTATATAAATCATTACAGTACTTGTTAGCAGCTTTGGGAAAATTCTGTTTTAAAAGGCAAGTTACTCAGCATGGATTACAAGCCTGTAATCCTAGCACTTGGGGGGAGGCTGTGAGTTCAAGGTCAGCCTAGACTACGTACTGAGTTCAAGTCAGCCTGAACTACAAAGCAAGATCCTAGGGCTGGGCATATAGCTCGATGCTGTAAGTGCCTGCCTGCCAAGCTCAAGATTCTGAGTTCAATCCCCACAAAAAACCCCTAGGTTAATAAAGAGTATACTGTATTATATAGCAAGATCCTGTCTCAAAAAAAAACATGTAAAGGTAATCTTTAACTGTTATACAATACAGGGCCAGGGAGATGGCACAGTAGAGTAAGCGCTTGCCTGGCAAGTGCAAGGGCCTGAGTTCAATCCCTGGTTCTGGAAAAAAAAAAAAAAATCTATATCGATATATAAATATGCATAAAATACAATATTAATGTATAATTAACATTATACGTTATGCTAACATATATTAATCTATAATTATAGATGATTTCAATTTTCCAGAAACTAGAATTACTTTTTACTACTTAGAATTATTCACAAAATACATTTAAAGAAT